GCATGCACGTCCATTTATAAGCAGTCCAGCATCCCTCAGCAGCTTTAAGTACTAGACTTGGCTGCTTACAAAATATTTATGTATATTGTCTAATTTCTTCATTTAACTTTTGTTAGCTTGTTTACATAAAAATGTCTTGCTTTTTTAATCTTGTTCTTTATACGAAGTCTAAAACACACAGTATTCACATTTTTTAAAAATTGTCTAATTGCAAAACACAATTACATTTGAGCTACAGTAGTTCAGTACATGTAGTGTTTCTTAAAATGACATCAATATTAAATAGTTTTTGAAAGCTGCAAGTGTTATTTTATTATGTACAATGAGTAGCTCTTTCTTTCTTTCTTTTGTTCTTTTCTTTCAAATGAATGCTGTTCTTTGGATCAGCACACCTTTAGGCTGCTAATCTATAGCGTGACAATAATGTCATATAACAGTCAAATAATAGTGTTAATAGAAATAATCCATTGATGTAACTGTTGGTTTATAGTATTGTAGTCAGAGTAGAGAGTGAAATACATGTGATAAAACATCTACACATTCTTAGAGCCTGGGAGGGTAAAGCTCAAGTAATGTTTTATGGTCTAATAGCATCATCTAGTGAAAATGAGTAGGAGTGTATTAAAACAGCAAATATTCTGTCGTAATTTACTCACCCTAAAGCCGTATGACTTCTGTTGAACATAAAAGGGAAAATTCTATGTGACTGTGCTGTATATTCCCACACAAGGACGCAATGAGATAACGCTCAAATTTAAGCTGTAGCTTGCTGGATTAGTCGGATCCTTTCCTGGTTTAATTATGGGAATGATAACTGCATCTTTCCAACTAGTAGGAATTCTCCCTTCTTCCATACTTTATTATAAAAACCTAAAGTTTTACTTTGACTTAAAACTCCTAGATGTTTTAACATTTGATCTTTCCCTGGGGAGGTTAGTTTAGATTTGTCTGTTGCTCTCCTCATTTCTTGCAATGCAAAAAAGGCACATCCATAGCATCCATTGTACATTCTTGTCTCTGTAGTGCTCCTGGAAATAACTCTCCCCTCCCTCCTCTGATAAATTACTAGAACTATGAATTTCTACAAACATATAGCTAATATTTAAACTTTTTCTTCATTTGATACCGCTATGTTTTCCTCAGATTTTAAAACTGGATATTGCCAATCTCTTCTTATTCCTCTCATTTTTCTTATCATTCCCCTATTCATTTCCCCTTTACACTTGGATATTGATCAATTTGCTGCATTTAAGACAACTTCTCTAAATTTGTCATCAACGTTTTCTGTATCTTGATTTAAATCTATTTTATTACTTTCCATCTCGCATAAATATTCAAATTCACCCCATTTTGCCTTACTAAAAATACATTTGGACTCTCTTTCCTCAACTCTCTCATCCCTTTATACATGTTTACTGAATATTGGATAATGGTCACTAGCAACTGTTGATTCTTCCCATATCTCCCACTCACAAATCCCAGCCACCTCTTTACCAGTGTTAAATCAAGTGCTGAGCTCTTACCTGTGTGTTTGTCTATTCTTGCTCCTCTTCCATCATTGAGAAAATAACTGTTCTGTTATTTGCCCATTTGCATCTGTTTTCCCCCCTCCCTGTAATGAACTATGAGCATTTAGGTCACCAAACCAAAAATGTGATGTCTAGTTTCTCCTTGAATCTGATTTAATGAGTTGATATCTAATCTTCTGCAAGGGTTACAGTAGTCGATAATGGTAAACTGTCCTTTTTTGGTCCATATCTATATTACAATATATACCTTGTTAGATTTTGCTGTATTTGGCTGAGCAGTGGTTTGGGTGGCTCGCCAATGTATTACATTTCTCTAATACATAAAATAAGTAAGCTTGACAAGAGTTCTTGTGGGGAGAAGAATTTATTGAAGGTATGCAGCAGGTCTTCAACAGCGATGTTAGCTTGTCAGTCTTCAAAATATCTTAACCCTTGTAAAAGTCCTTAGCATTTTTGTTTTCAATATTATGCTTCTGGGCTGTGTGTTTAAAATTGAAAATGGTTTCTCTAGGATGGTGATGTTTAGAAGATATATTTAAGCCTATAGGGGGCATAACTTCCTTTGTGATCAGCTGTGGAAGCACGTTTTTTTTTTTTTTACCATGTCTTTTGTTTGCTTCTGTTGTATCTTTTGGAAACCTGTCCTGAATAAATAAGTTTGGATTAAGAAACAGGAAGATGCGTGTATTTACTTTACAGACACAGATTTTCACCAAACAATGAAAGTTATATGCATTTCCTGTCTCTTTTATTCCTCTGTTGTTTACCATCTTTACAGCATACAACATTTTAGCTGCATCTCTTTCCTACATTGATGATCATAATCACGATCATTTCCACACCAAGCACATCTTCTTTTTCCTTTACATGTTCTGAGCAGTGTGTCCAAATCATTGCCAATTAAAGCATCTCATAGTTTTAGGGACATATTCCCGTACACTGTATGTCATATAACCTAAAGTCGCTTTGTTTGGAAGAGCATCTTCCTCAAACTCCAACAGTATACTTATGTAGAATGTAGTCTTTGGGCATCATTCAGTTTCCCTCCTTTCAGATTTGCCTTAATTTCATCCATAGTAACATCGACAGGTATTCCCCAAATCACACCCCATTCCACTTGTTTCTCTTCTACAGAAGACTAACACTTAGTGCTTTCTGTTTTCCTACATCTTTCATCCTACAGGCCCTTTCTCTCTGTTCTTCATTATTGCAGATGATCAGTAAATTCCCATCTCTTAAAACTTTGGCCACCATGACCTCACCAACTTGATTTTTCAATACTTTAACTGGGCTCATGTTATGTAGGGTAGAGTGGGGGAAAACCCCCCCAGCCCCTCCCCCACCCTAATGTTTTTCCTGAAATAACCACTAGATAAAGTCAAAATAAATGTTAGTTGCAACTATGGACTACGTTGATGAGAATGATGTAGAAGTCATTCCACCATGAAGCTTACACTGGTGACACCGGAGAGAAAACGGATTTCACTGTAAATGATTTAATTTTCAGCAGTAAGAAAAAAAAGTGTTTTAAAGCTTGTTGTTTTGTAGAACATCACAGTTATATGAGAACAGTAGGGCCTTTAAATAGGGAGCATGTATTATTTAAGAAAAATAGAATTATATTTTCCGAATTTTTTCTTAAAGGGGTCATATGATGCGATTTCAAGTTTTCCTTTCTCTTTGGAGTGTTACAAGCTCTTGGTGCATAAAGAAGATCTGCAAAGTTGCAAAGACTAAAGTCTCAAATCCAAAGAGATATTCTTTATAAGGGGCTTTGTAGAAAACGAAGCGTTTGAGGGAGGCGGGGCATAGAGGACCTACAATAATGTACAGTATTTGAAAAATAATGTGTTTTTTGAACATTAAAGCATGTCAGCATATTCTGTTACACCAAATACACAAAATAATGATCTTTAAAATAGCATCATAAAAAAAAAAACGTCAAATCCTTTGTTTTTCCATCAAATGTACTCTAACTAGATGGTTGAATAAAAATATTTGGACTCAATTACCTCAAGTTAGCATCAGGTAGCTATTTTAGCTAGCCAGTTAGCATCAGCTAACAAAATTTTTCAAATAGGCTATTATAATTTTGTAATTCATAATTATTGATTATATTATGTTTAATTTTAAACTAACTGCCTGCACTCTGATTTTGCTGTAAATGTATAAAGCAAATTGCTTTGTAAGACTGGGGGGCATTTTACCTCACCTGTGGTGCAAAACGCTCCCTTGCATGGTACAAATTAAATTTTTGTTAAAAATCTAATAACATGAAAACTCTGGATATTTTTCGTACTTGGTTTATAATTTACGTCATTGTCCCTAAAACTATGATAACTTTTCTGAACAAATTTAACTTCTGTTTCACAGAAAAAAAATACACAGTCCTTAAGGGGGGCGTTTTCCCCCACTCTACCCTACTCCTTTTTCTTCACTAAATCTAATTATTACCTTAAATTCTCCATCCTCCGCCCTCATTTCACCACTCCTTCCTTCTGAGTTATTCAGCACTTTTCTGCACTTCTTCATTCCAGCTATTTCAAAAGAATTTCCACTTTTCTCCCTTATGTTCTTCACTTCCTTTTCTATCCGAGTCAGCCTACTCTGGCCCATTTAAAGTACAGTTTTGCCTACCTGCCGCTGTTGTCATCACTCTGCCATGCTTTCCCATTTCATCCAGGGAGATTTCTTGTCTCCTCTTCATCAAAGTTCAAATGATAATCGTTCCTTTGTCATTACTTTCCGTATTCTGATATGATTTATCCATTTTGGTCATTTATAGGATAGAAATCCCACCGTTAAATTTAAAGTCCGGTTGACCAATTCCAACGCATCACTTCCTCTCCACGCGCAAACTTCTGACACTTCACAGGTCAAAGTGGAGCCAACTGAGAAACTTGCATGCAGTCAGCCATCGACCGGTATTTAAAAAATAGTACCAAACCATAACTATATTGTATATAAATATTGTATATAGAATTGTGATCACATGATGTATTATAGTTATACTTTTGACCTTTCATGTTAATTAGACACATAAAATATATGTGAGTGAAAAATACTTGACAAAATTATTTACAAAATATTACTTCTCAACATATTTAAATTTTTCTCTTATTGCTTTTATGACCTATAATTTGGACAGGATTCCTGATAGTGGGTATCCAAATATTGTTCAAACTAAAAAAAGAGATTTGTTTTTCATAATTAAATAATTACCATACATGTTTCTTCTGAACAACATTTTTTATTTCTGTATTATATATTTCAGATTTTTTTACAGCATGACAAGCTATATTAAATATAACAGAAGAAACAAGGTAATGTAGTATTTTATTTTAAAACGTCACATCAGAAAGTCACAGCAAAAAATCATGACAGGACATAAAAGATGCATTGTACAGAGAAAATACAAGCTCTATATTCAGTACCGTGAGTCTCGTTGTAGAATGTGAAGAGCTGCTGGATTCAGTACAGCAGGATTAAGCAGAGCAGAGAACTGCAGAGGAACAGGAAGCTCTGAGTGACGCTCTCAGCACTGTTACACAGGTTCCCCTTGCAACAAAAGACTTCACTCATAGAAGGAAACAAGTCTGAGCTATTGCAAAAAGATTTAGAGAGACAACCTTTAATAACTCCTGACAGCTCAGCAGTCACTTTCACTGAAGAAAAGAAAGAAAACAAAGGTTTATCCAAGCAGGAAATTGGCAAATGTGATCTGTATCAAATGCTCAAACATAAGATAGATAAATTAACTTTTTTTTCTTTTCCAGATTCTCACCTGTTGCTTCAAAGCAGTGGTCTTCACTTCCCGAACAGCTCAATATGTGTGAGCAGCTATCCTCATCACAAGTGTAACATGTCTTTCCATTGGGGACAATAGAGGGATCTACAGGATGAAATTATCATTTTATTTTCTGTGCAAAATATAAAATCTAATTAAAAAACACTCTGTTAGCTGCACCATTCAATCAATTCACAACTGCCAAGCTGCACCCTGTATTGTATTTCCTGATTGAATGTTCTTTGGAAGTAAAATGATAAAAGATAGTCAAAGACAGAAATTTGCATATGGTCAGTAAAGCACAATACCTGGAGCATCTTGGGCATTACACTGATCTGTGTTACAGCACACTGAAGAATGTTTTGTAGTGCTCTGGCTCATGGATCCATTTGCACAGTCAGCAACACAGTCTTTAAACCTTTTTTTAAAACTGACGCCAGCTAAAAAAAAACAAGAAAGATTCAGGGAAGACCAGTTCAACACATTATTTTGATGGAAAATATATTTATAAATGTCAAAATGCTGCATTTTCTCATTTTAAAATATTGATTAAATTTTAATTAAAAATTATACTGTTAGCATTACAATCTGAGAGAAACAAATTAAATAGCAGAAATCTAAACAGAATATTCTGTGATTACAATCATGCATTTTGTTAGGAAATTAGCAGTTCTGTGAGAAGTTCCAATGAAGCAGCACCAGTAAAAAATAAAAATAAAATAAAAAACACCAGCATCTCCATCTGTCAAATATAACAGTGAATTTTAATCCATTTTATTGACCTTACCAATTAGTGTTGCTGTTGTTACACTCAAGCACTTGGAAAATCCACTGGGACATGTTTCTATATATGGAATTGCACAACCCACAAAACCCGAACACTCATAACAGCTGAA